GCCAATTTCTCTAGAGTATTGGGCTAATTCTTCTCTCTTTTATGTTTACCCACATATTTGAGCTCAATAAATGGGCTTGAGTTTTGGGGCTCCTAAGCAGCCCAAACTTCTATTTCTCAGCTCATCAATGGACCTCATGAAAATTCGTTACTACTCATACCACAACCCACTCAGCAAGCCCTGGGCATTTACGTGGCTTGAGCCCACTTAAACTTGTAGCATGGCATGTTGCTTATTTGCGTGGTGTGGCATGTGTGCAAGCGCATACGACGAACTTTCGTGTGCTTCAACCGGGTTCTTTCTTAATAAGGTGTCGCACTTGACTAGGAATATTTTTGAGCATAGCCTTGGATTTTTTGGGCCTTAACACCCCCTAATGTCTAGCGTGCATCACTAGGGGGTATTCCCGCTAAAGCTCACAATACACATAGTCGGGATATTGCAAATGGTTAATGTGAATTATCAAACGTTTGTAGTCTGAGGTATGTGCCGCCTGTGAAACTTTGCCATTAGTTTCCTTATGAACATATTGTGGTATTCACTAAGGCAATTGATTATTCCCTAAGGCAGTGGGTGTCCATTACCCAGTAGTTGGTTGATCCCACCACAAGATATGTGGTTATGGGATTACGTGTCATATGTAAGGACATAATTGTTGATCTTCTTCATGTCATCAACTATGCCGGTATTAATCACGACAATATATCACATTGGCGTATCTAATGGGTCCCATGAAAGTCTTATTGATGGTTAAATATGAAAGTCTTATCGGTTTTAGCCACGCATATAGAATTACAAGGGCAGAACAACATCCTATTTGTATTGGCTTGAATTATCGGAATTACACTCGGGATCCTACGTTGTTTCTTAAATTTTGACCACAACGTGTATAAAAATTACACAAAAGCTCGCAATGGAATATTATGAAGTGGAGCAAACCCTATACCATATTTGCCCCATTTTTTGATGCGTTCACATAATGATGTAACCATCAATGATGTGTTCTTTACTACGAAGTTTTTTTATTTTATTTTATATTTTTTACAAGACATCTAAGATGGTATCAAAAGGGACTTCAGTACCATAGAAACATTCTTCCGACAACCATATTTATTCACAGAGCCGAAGCTAAGTTGGGATTTGTTGCAATGGAGAGAAGAGGTGGATTTAGCGATATAAAACAATTACGGAATATGATCCAAGTTCAAGTTCAATATTATTTTGGAGACTTAATGATATAAATTTGGCTTAATAAATATAATTTCACTTGCTATTACATTTCATTCTCACCAATTGGATTTATGAATTTTCTGTATTTAATTTGGTGAACTTATTAGGTGAATTTATCTTTTGTAGGAAGTTGAAAAGCCAAAAGATGAAGATATATATTTGTCCAAGTTCAAGCCAAGTGTGAAGAGAATTGCTAGCGGATTTTATTGAAGAATTGATTGTGGGATTATTGTGATTACAAAGAGAAGCAAAGAGGAAGAAGAGAAGACAAAACCGTTGAAGCTAAAGAGCCTATTTCATGTCATTCATAGTCATTTAATGCCCACTACCTCACCATTATTTCTTTTCCACTAACTCTCCACCATTAACACATGTTTAATCCAATTAATCCCTCACTTACACCCTTCATTACCCACCATGAATGTATTAATTTTCCACTCACCTCATTGACTACTATAAATCACCCATCAACTTATTTGGCAAAGAGACCACTACCACATATTTCTTTATCTATTTCATTCAAAATTTAGTTATGTTTTCTTTTGTAATGAGTTGCTAGAACTCTAGCTAAGGCTAAAGGGACTGTCATTTGAGTAAGTTTGTGAATTGTTCTTTAATCCATTATACGGTATGAATTGCTAAATTCTTTTATTTTTGGTTGTTCAATATTTTCATATCTTTTTATTTTGATTGATGTTAAGTGCTACTATCTTTTCATGTGTTCACTTATATTTTTCTCATTGTTAAAAATAACTTAGCATGCTTTTAAATTAAAAGAGTAGATATTAAGTAATTTTATTTTCTAAACAATCATTTATAAAAGATAACATTGAAAAATTAAATTGGTTTTAATTTCTTTATCTTCATGTTAAAGTTTCTCAATGATAATTTTAATCGAGTTATAATTTGGATTAAAGAGCATGAAATATATTTTGCTTAAAGAATTGAACCTTGATGCCTTAGCATTTTCATTATTGATATTTCATTTTTAAACTCAATCTCTACAACAGCCAAATCAAATTACTTTTCCATTTTGCTTGTCACTTTTATTTTGGTACGTTTAATTGTTTCTTTGTGTGCAGACATTTGCCTACATGCTTCTTAAGGATACGATACTTGGACTTCCAAGATTATTACTACGTGTGACTACTTGCACTTGAGTAGACACAACGCTCTTTCAACTGGTGCAAAATTGAAGGCTCTAGCATTTGTCTACTGCAGGTGGACTTGAAAGAGAAGAACAAACGTTAAGAGAGAGAGAGAGAGAGTTACTTTTGCAAATTGGGTTACTTTTGAAAATAAGTATAATAATTATGATGCCTTTTTGCTCCTTTGGCTTCTTCCAGTAGAAAAAATGTTCTAAGAAATGCCATTATAAGCATCACATTGTATGCATTGTAAGCTATACCCAATAGTCTCATAATTATAAGAGTTGTATAACGATGAAAAATAAAAACAAAAATCATGAATTTGTCCCAGATGATAAAAACACAAATTTATGAAGTAAAAGTTGCAAACATAGAGTCGAAGCATAAATTCATAGGAAAAGTCAAATATTTATAAACACTATTAAAAAAAAAAGTGTGTTATGGTGTATCAAAGGTATTTTTGGTACTTAAATATGGTGTACTTATTTTTTTTTTTTTTTTTTTTTGAGAGAGAGAGAATAGGGTTACTTAGTTAATTTTACATTTTGATTAAAATATTAGGGTGTACTTTGATCATGGGGTATACTCAGTTAATTTTAGGGTTCGTTTAACATCACTTCTTTTTTTTGGGTTAGCTACAAAGGGAGGGGCTTCGGTTTTCCTATTTTTAAATATTTATTTCCAGATGTGGGCTCCACAATTCCACATCCATTTGGGAAATTGGCTAGTTAGGACAAAATTACCAATATACCCTGTCACGTCATCAATTTTAACAGAATTTGGGATGGAGTATACGGCAACGGGGAAAGTGACACACCAAACATTGGTCAAGGCTTCCAAGGTGCAATGTAGAATTTGACAAATGTTTCAGAGAGTACTGTAGCAATTTTAATGCTCTTTTCTTGCAACCCATCACACATCACTTATTCCTCATCTCTTTCTTTTCAAATACCCTTAACATACTCAAAACCATTTATTACAAATGCTTCTACAACGGTGAAAGCAAACCATTTAATGATGAATTGAGATAGTTGTTTGAGTCCTTGAATGGATTACAAACATGACGTTTTCAAATTTGTGTATAAATTCGGATTGTTGAAAACATGCAATGTGATCCGTGAATCAGTGCGAAGCACCATTACAATACTTTTGGTCAACACCATTGCAATACTTTTCTTTTTGTCAAGTACCACTAAAATAAACTCTTTGTTTTTAGTCCACAATGAACAATTGAGCTGAAACAACAATCTGGGCAATGCAAAGATTTGGAAAAATAAAAATAAGCACAGTTGCAAGTTGCAACTTACAAGTACAACCGCTAAAAATAAGTTGTCTTGTGGAGCGCGCGTGGTCTGCACCCCCCAATAGAGCTTTTGGAATAGATGAAGGCAAAGTTTTTTTTTTTGGGGGTAAATTAATCTCATAAAATATTACTCTCAGGTCAACTTAGCAAGGTTATAGGTTGTTATACTCTTTGCACGTGTTTCCGCATTTGTGAGAGATTTTTTTCAAAAAAGAATTTAAATTTATTTTAAAAATTAAAAAAGATAATGGGTAATTGTGTTTCATAAAAATATGATCAATTATCTGATTTTCTTTTAATTTTAATTTTTTAAATATGAAAAATTGTGAATTTATCACATTATCCTCATTAAATTTATAATTTCAATTCTTAATGTTTGCATTAACCAAAGGTATTTTCTGGTATTTTGAATGTTTTATCACTCTCTATCTTTTACTTTATATATACTAGCTTTTCTGCACGCGCTTCGGGGCCTGCAAGAAGCTTTTTTTTAAAAAATTAAAATTTATTTTAGAATTAAAAAAGATAAGCGCATTTTTTGGTATTTTGAATGTTTCACTATTCTCTATCTTTTGCTTTATATATATAGATATATATATTATAATTTTTTTTCTTTTATAACAAAAAAAAAAGGAATTTTTGAGCTTTCATTTCCAATACATCCTTATTTTCTGAAAATAAAAAAATTACATTCCCATCCAAAAAAAGATAAATACCTGACCTTATTTTTAAACTTAATCTCTACCTAATTTATAAAGCCCTTAGTTTCCAAAACATTTTTGAATGAAAATACTTTTAATGACTAATAATATACTAAATTAATAGGTGAAAAGAATTTTAAAAAAAGTACAAACGATATTGGGAAGAGAGAGATCGAACGTATAACTTTTCATGTATTAGTACATACTCTTAACCATTGCAACTCCTTTGTTTAAAACAAAATGCATATTTTTATATAAGGAAAAAGTATACTAAAACTAAAAGCAAGAAAAATAAACCAACAAATGTTCAAATGGGTTACCTTTTTTGTATGATTACCAATTTACCCCTAATTTGTATCAGATTTTGAAGAGCAGAGTGAGCCTTCACAGAATGAAGGAATGTGAATCAAAGTTCATCTAAGAAGAAAGGAAATAAAAACCTAAAAATTTTAAAATAGGAATTTTGTTTTTGGGGTCAAAGAAGTGATGGGGAATAAACAAATACAAGTATAATAAAAAGAACAATATTAATAAATAAATAAATAAAATTTGAGAAAGATAAAATATAATAAAAATAGGGAGAAAAAGAAAAAGAGAAAAAGAAAAGGAAAGGAAAAAGAGGAAGAGAGAGTTTGAGAAAGAGAGAGAGAGTGAGGTGGTAGGGAGAGTCCACAGTCACCTCCTTTATCTCAGCCTAACATCGCTCTGCTATTGCCATTTCGCTTCTCAATCCCCAATTCTTCTATATTCACATTCACTCCTCTTTTCATTTCTCTCTCTTCATTTTTTTTTTCTTTTTCTTCTTCTTCCTTTACAAATTTTCAGCTCTTTATCTTTCTCTCTCCGTGTATCTATGCGTGTGTTTGGATCTCCATTTCAGCTCTCAGATGTGTTGCTCTCTCTATGCTCGAATCGTCTCCCTCCTCTTTCACAAATTGCGGTTAGGATCGATTTCGCCAATTTCCAATCTCTGCTTGCGTTTTCTTGAGCTAGGGTTTCCATTTTCCCGATCCATGAATTAGAAACCTGTGATTGAATTGGGTTCAATTCGCATTTTCATGCTCGATCGAGCTCTGAGAATTGTGATTCAGGAATAATTAGGCTTTTCATTTCGTGGATTTCACTTTCCGAGCTGATTTTGTTCCCTTTTTTGCAATTAAGAACGGGCGATGTTCAATTTCGTAGTTCTCATCTGAATTTTTGGATTTTTGTCGCTTTCAGGTGTTCTAATATCACAATTTTCTCAGGTCTTAGCTCATTTCGTCACTACGCTTGAGCTATCTCATTTTGATTTCATTTTCAATCCCCTTTTCCCATTCTAGAAAATTTTCAATTGCGCGCAAAAGGACTTGTCTTTGGGTTTTGGTCGATTTCGCAGCTTCAATCTTGGGATTTTTGTATCTGCTCCATCTTCCCCTGATTCAGGTATGCAAAATTTAAGTTTTCGGTGTATAAATTGCAATCACTTCAGCTGAGAGTTTCAATCTTTATTAAGCATGCCGTGATTAATTTGGGCGTGACTACCTTGCCATACGTAGACTTCGTTCCAATCTAAGAAGTGAATTATGTATGGTTACGAGTTCAATCATGATTTATGGTTTGGATATTGGTTTGTTTTTGTATCAAATAATAGGCTGACCTCTTTCCTTGGTTTATTTGCTTCTGAATGGGGTAAAAAGGATTTAATTCGACCTTGGAATATTACTCACAGCTTATCCTTTTGTGGGTTTTGAAGATCTGCAGTTCACTAGTCTTAATTACTCATAATTAGTGTTAAATAATGACTATGTGCACAAGTTAGTAATTTAATGTCATCTTTACCCCTTTATCCATATTCCCTCTAGTAACTGCTTTTATGATTTTCCTTATTGTTTCTTTCTGTTTATGGATTTTTTTGTGCGCTGTTGGACTCTTGGGTCGTTTGTATTTATGATATGGGGCAATATTTGGTCTAAACCATTGGAAGTTTGTTTTCTGTTTGTTCTGTTCCATAAATTAATTATTAGTGCATGCATAACAAGTGGATCAAATTTGGCGTTATGGTTCTGCTTATATGTGTTTATTTGTCGTTTTCTTCTCCCTTTTTATTCCAGGTTGTCAATCTACGCTTTGCATGGTCTTGGCTCTTCTTAGCGGTTTTGATCACATATTAAGAGATGAGTCGGACAACAAATGAGAGTGAAGATGGAGTGCTGTCCAAGGATCAGATTGAGTCTCCGATGATGGACGAGAGTAACGGAGGAACTGGAAATGGTGGAATTGTTCTAAAGAAAGGCCCATGGACCTCGGCTGAAGATGCAATATTGGTGGAGTATGTTAAAAAGCATGGGGAGGGAAACTGGAATGCTGTTCAGAAGCACTCAGGCCTATTCCGTTGTGGTAAAAGCTGCCGGCTGCGATGGGCAAATCACCTGAGGCCAAACCTGAAGAAAGGGGCATTTACTCCTGAAGAAGAACATTTGATTGTTGAACTCCATGCCAAGATGGGGAACAAATGGGCACGCATGGCAGCACATGTAAGTACACAGTTTATTTTCTTTATCTAAATATGGTTCATACCAAATTCCGTTTCTTTGTATTCTGCCTCAAACTTCATTTTAAATTCACACATATAACATAGGAAGCGCTTATTACATTAATATGGGAGCTCTTAGCTATAAGAGGAAAATATCCTGTGTTTAATACAGAATTTCATTAAAAAAAATTCTATGCTTGTATCTATTCGAATAAAGTATTTGTGTTTCTCATCAACAAAAAAATAAAAAAGGAAGAAAAAGAATAGAGTTCATTGGTATAATCTGGGATTTGCTTTCAAAGTTTTAGCTGCGACATTTGATTTTGTGTAATATCATGTATCTTTTGCATGCCACAAATATGGGCAGTTTCTCCAATTATCCTGTATTCTTTCCCCCAAACTTTCCAATTACTTGTCAATGTTGTCATTGTATCTGTTGAGCTTCTAGAATAGAAAACAAAAAAACAAAAATTATAACTTGCTGACTGCTGCACTTCCACCATCACAGGAAAAGAACTTGTGCCTTTTATGATTTATCTAATTAAGATCAGATCAAAATCATAAATGGTAACAGAGTACAGTTTTCCAAACATTTTCCCTTAATTTAAAAGCCAGTAAAACTCTCCCAAAATTAAAATACCCTGGCTTCATAGAGATTCTAAGTGACATAGCTTCTCAATTGGGTAAACCAATCTTGTAGCTTTTATGTGTCTACAACTTCTTAGATGGAAGGGAATGAGAACTTGGCTGTGGTATCTTTCATATTTTATTCTGTGTTTGAGCATTTGATAATCAGACAAGATTTTTCATTTTCAGGGTTGCACATATGTCAAACATCCTTCCTAGCTTTACGTTAGTCTATGTGGTATTCGTGTATATGTTATTACAAGAGTGCCTTAAGGTGCTACTGTTTGCTCTTGTTTCCAATCTTGAAAATGTTTTATGAAGTTCATGGAAAATGTTCCTTCTTAATTGAATATAGTAACTGAAAGGAAAGGTAATGATAATTTGACATGATACTTTGGCTAGATGAAGCTAACATGTGTTAATTTAGTTAAGATATTTTGTGTCCCTGAAAGATTAAAGTATATTTACTTACCATGGGTTAAAAGATTGAACAATAATATATGGCAATGTTTAAAGTGTCTATTTTAAGAAATTATTATGACAAGATAAAAGTTCACTGTTGTGGACAATGCATTTTGTAGTAGATGCACCATATTGACATCTCTCAATTAATTCTTCTTCAAAGCTAGTAGTAATTTTTCAAATTTTATATTTTGGGTCCATCCCTTATTAGTCTTAATTTTCGTAGTATTTTTCTTAATGTGTTTTCCCATTCTTTTTCGGAAATGATTAACGGCCTCTTTTGCTCTTCTTAGTTACCTGGCCGTACAGATAATGAGATAAAGAACTACTGGAATACCAGAATTAAGCGGCGTCAGAGGGCTGGCTTACCACTTTATCCTCCCGAGGTGTGTTTGCAAGCATTGCAGGAGAGTCAACAAGGCCAGTCCAGTGGTGGAATTAATGGTGCGGATAGAGCACATCATGATTCTCTGCAAACTAACAGTTATGAGATACCTGATGTTGTATTTGAGAGTTTAAAAGGAAACAATTGTGTCTTACCTTATGTTCCTGAAATTCCTGATCTCTCTGCTAGTGGCGTGCTGATGAAAGGCCTTAGTTCTTCTCCATATTGTGGTTTCATGCCACCAACAATGCATCGTCAAAAGCGTCTTCGAGAATCAACATCTTTATTCTCTACTTCTGATGGTAGTTTCAAAAATGGTTTCCCCCAGTTTGACCATTTTCAAGATGATACTTGTGATAAAGTGGGTCAGTCGTTTGGATTGTCATTTCCTCATGATCCTGATCCTACCACTAAGAGTCCACTGTCGTTTGGTGTAATTCAGGGTAGCCATTCCCTTTCAAATGGCAATTCTTCTGCTTCTAAGCCCACCTCAGGGGCTGTGAAGCTGGAGCTCCCTTCACTCCAATATCCAGAAACTGATTTAGGCAGCTGGAGCACTTCTCCTCCGCCGCCCTTACTGGAATCAATTGATGCTTTTATCCAATCTCCCCCACCCGTTGGTGCATTTGAGTCAGATTGCGCTTCACCACGTAATAGTGGCCTGCTAGATGCTTTACTCCATGAGGCAAAGACTCTCAGTAGTGCAAAGAATCTTTATTCTGACAAGAGTTCAAATTCATCTAGTGTTACTCCTGGTGATATTGCTGACAGTTCCACGTTGAACATTTGCGAGACAGAATGGGAAGACTATCGTGACCCAATTTCTCCATTGGGTCATTCTGCTACTTCGCTGTTCAGTGAGTGTACTCCTATTAGTGCGAGTGGAAGTTCATTGGATGAACCACCGCCTGCTGAGACCTTTACCGGTGAGTATCTTAATCTGTGAGACCTGGAGACGAATGAGTTTGATAATAACATTGTAAAGTGATTCATGAATTATTCTCGATATTTTTAATGCAGATACCTTTTTTGTATTAGCAGTTGGAAGCGGTATTGTCCTATTGTTAGTAATTTATAGTCATTTTAAAGTAGTTTTCATGGGTTTATTTTTTATTTAAATTTTTTTTGGAACATATCAAATTACAAACACTTCCTTTTCTCCTTTGGTAATATGATAGCATTTCTGATCGATTTGTTTTCTGTGAATATATAGAAGATGGTACTCATATTTCTAATTTGCAGGATAAGTGCTGTGCTGCCTCTTGTTATGACATATATTGCTTTTGATTGTTCTGCCAGGGTGCAATGTGAAACCAGAACCGGTTGACCAAGCTTGGACCCCGGATAAAGAAAAAGAAACTACACCTCAGTTGGATTACACTCGTCCCGATGCTTTACTTGCTTCAGATTGGCTTGAGCACAGTACTGGGTTTAAAGACCAAGGCATGACAGATAGTATTGCATCAATTCTTGGTGATGATTTGGCGACTGACTACAGGCACATGGCTTCAGGAACTTCTATATCAAATCAAGTATGGGGTCTTGGTTCTTGTCTGTGGAACAACATGCCTGCTGTGTGTCAAATGTCTTCTGATCTTCCTTAAGAAACCGGTCTGTCAATTGTATGAACCTGAAACTTTTGTCACCTAATTAGTGCTGATCATTTGTTAACTATGTGGGGAAGTGAGTCCTGGTCTAAGGAAGGTCAGTTGCAAGCAATTGGGACTTGTGGTCTGTTTTTGCATGAGTCATGGTTGTTTTTTGTTTGTGGTTTTCACTTGGTTTCTTTTCAAACAATGCAATGCATGTATGCCTAAACAGAACCATATTGAGGTATACAATTGCATGCAGGCGTTTGCTATGATTGTAGAATAACTATGCATTTGGAACGTTCTGATACAATGGAATCCGGTTAGTTTGTTTTTTGTTTTGTTTTGTTTACATGGAAATTGATCTATATTGTCTCTTCCCTACCTCTCTATATAGCAGTTTTCTTTATTCAATTTTACTGTATGTTGGTTTGTTTTGTTATTTTAACCCAAAGAAAAAAGTGTATATAGTTTTCCCACTCTGTCTAGTACTCAACGTGGTGCTTTTCTAGATGTATATATATTACATGCAACATCTTTTAGGTTGCGGTGGGATAATCCTATAACACGGAAAGGAATTGATGAGAAATCAAATAACGATGAATAAGCCTAACACACGGAAAGGAATTGATGAGAAATCAAATAACGATGAATAAGCCTAACACACGGAAAGGAATTGATGAGAAATCAAATAACGATGAATAGGCCTAACACAGTCGGAGGAGAGTTCTACATTGCTCTAAGGCCCTCACTACAGAATTCTTGGTCTGAATAGGAATTGATGAGAAATCAAACAACGATGAATAGGCCTAACACAGTCGGAGGAGAGTTCTACATTGCTCTAAGGCCCTCACTACAGAATTCTTGGTCTGAATAGGAGGAAGTTGGACCTACTAAGCTCCAAAAGAGATTTTGCCACTCCATGTGTTTATTATGTAACAAGAACGCCAACTTCTGTTTCTTGATGCAACGGATTGCCCTTTATTGAAATCTTAAGAAAAATACACGACTTTGATTGCCACAATTAAAATTACAAGTCCTTAAGTGATAAATTCCTGAAAGTACAAGAAAGCCAATAGAGAATTGTAGAGAGAAGTAAGAAGTAGAGAAAGCCAATATGAATTGTTCTCAAAATTTGTCTCTTTTATCTTTGATAAGCACCTAATTATAGGCTTACAACCATGGAAATTTAACCCACAAATTGTAGGTTACAAACTACTAATTACAATAGTATGGGCATATGAGTAAAACACTAACAAGTGGAGGCCTATGGTGGTCATCCACGTTCTCTATACTTCAGGGCCGATCCATTGATTTTGGAAGCCTTGGGCAAAAATGAAAAATGAGGCATTTTTTGTTTAACACTTACCTCATTTTGAACAAAAATTATAATAAAAAGTTTCAAACTTAAGTGGTAAGTAGGTTAGTTTAAGTAAAAAAGGCTCATTACATGAAAGATAAAGAAGAATGCCAAAACAAAGCCCAAAAAATATTAGTTTAACACATAAAATGCCTTCTTTTTTGTTGTTGTTGTTGTTGATATACATATTGGCCTGGGGGGGCCCATTTTTGTGGGGGCCTTGTGTCATTGCCCAGCCCGCACATCTTGTGGGCTTGGCCTGATATACTTAAAACACTCTCCGTTGAATATCCACTGTATAATGATGTAGTTGCCCATCAAACACCTTGCTTAGAAAGCCCAATGAAATAAAACTTAAGCGTAGGGAAAAAGAATACAACATTTTTTTGGACCGTTAATATGGTGTTGAAAGCACTCAATGTTGCCCCTCGTTAAAACCTTGCTATGAAAAACATTTGAGAAAAAAACGGAGTCACTAGGAAAGAGTACAATGCGCATATGTCCTATATTTGTCCTATATTTGGAAAATTGTTGGATGCTCCCTTAATAAATCATTCCTGATGACAACAAACTTGAATTATTTAATGACATAAATGATATTGGTATCACATCTATCTCTTGTAGAGTGGGCTTCGTAATACTCTAATAAAAAAAATTGCTTCAACATTGTCATTGGAAGATATATGTAACATGTTCATCATAATTCATTTGTATCCTTGCCAAGGGTAGAATAATATCAAAAAGAGTGTTGCTAAACGAACCCTAAAATTAACTGAGTACACCATACTAAAAAAACTATTTACTGAATTACTAATTTACCCTATTATAAAACGACGAAAAAAGATATATTGAATTGTGAAACAAATGTAATTAAATAAGTACACCTTACTCACTATATTCAACCCTAATTAAACGTAAGTGAAAAACCTTACTTCCAAAAACATAAACATAATAGCTGCCTGTTTTGAGTTTAAATATTTGCTATCCCATATGTAACCTGTCATTTTGAACAATATAAAATTATTTCCAGGAAGTTGATGAGTACGACATCTTGTACAAAAGAAATATGGAGAGCAATAGCTTTTAGAGATATTTAGTCATATACCCATTCTTAGCACTAAAATTATAAATAAACAATACACCATTTAATTTCTATAAACATACCCAAAAAAAACCCAAAAACTGATATCTGGCCCTATTGAATTTGATTTTAATTATTAAATTACTTTGATGCCTTATTGAGTGTTTTGGGTTTTTTTATGAGGTTTTTGGGTGGGATTTGTTTTAAGAAATCAATCACAGTTTTGTAATTTAAAAGAAGTTAAAAGCCTTTTTGTTATGTTATAGACTTTAGGTGTGTTTCTAAAGTCCATTTCATATAGGGTTTTTTTAATTTTATTTTATAATTTGGGCTCCTATATTGGATATTATAGTGAATCTCCCTAGCTTTTATAGTACTTATATTCAGAGAAGTGGGTAAAAGCGTGATGAATGTGGAATTTTTTTTATAAGCACGACATGTATGTTAATCCATTCCTTTTTCCAGTCCAAAATGTATGAATCAAATACTATTTAACTAGATATATATATATATATATATATACCAATGCCATCAAGAAAAATAGGAAAATAATAAAGAAGAAAAATATGAAACAATCTGTTTGTAATCGGGGCTGGATATCAACAAGGCCTAGTCTTCAATTGCAGGGATCAATACTTAAGAAAGTAAAGTGGTTGATTTAGCCAATTGCAGGGATCGACACTTGGGGCTTCCACTTTAATCCATCGACAGCACAGCATGGTGGGTTTGGTGGTCTGACTGTGTTTCGCAGCCAGCTCTTGAATGAGTTTGGTATAGTGTGTGATAGAGTGTATTAAGAGTGTATTATGAGTATTTTTGGTAATTAAATAGGATATATTTAGTTAATTTTATATTTTGATTTAAATATTAACAGTATACTTAGATCATAGCGTGTACTCAGTTAATTTTAAAGTTTGTTTAGCCGCACTCTTTTTGGTATTATTTAGGCTATTTTCATAAAGCCTTTTGCTATTTAACTTGATTATAAAAATTCTTAAAATAACTTTACGTGGTCTCTTTGATGCCAAAATAATAATACAAGTAAAGCTTATACTCTTTTTCTTTTCTTTTTTGCTAATGTCAGGAAAAAAAAATTGCATAACCAACCATTAATACGAATTGTTGGATGTAGCAGCAAAATTTTGTACTTTTAGAAAAACCCAAGAAAATAATATGATATAAATTAAAAAAGATCAAATGTCAAACGTGACATATGTATAAACAAAACATATGATCAATTGCAGTGGAGAGGTACAGGCTCCCGAGTACAACCCGAAAAGCTCGATTAACTTTGATGATGGTGAGTGGTGATTGGTGATCATTTTTGTTGAATGCCCATATCATCCCTAGAGCCCTCCGCCACTCTTTGTTGACACACAAAGGAAAAAGAAAAGCACAGTCACCATTATTCTGGGTTTTCTTTCTTCTCTTCAGTACTTGCAGAACTTCCCAATGACGATTGCTCAGAAACTGTGGAAAAGCTTGACGTCTCTGAAGAAGTAGATTGACGATGCGTGTACTCTAATGTGGGAGTAACTTCTACATTGATATAATCACCGTGATCACCATGTGATTCAGAAGAGCCTGGCATGCTTCCAGCTGATTCAGATTGTGCTGGTGAGAAGTCACCAATGCTACAAACTGGGTTTGCATCATTCAAGTAATTCAAAGCATTAACTACCTGCATTTGTATCAGAAGAAGAAAACAAAACGAACCCATCAGATTTCATTTGCCCCAGGTAGGATCCTATCAAACTTGATGGTATAATGTGTTGATTTAGTTTAATTTAATTGTTCCTTGTGAATGATGAGCAAAGAGAAATGCCCAGATTTCGAATACCAATTGATGGGATAGTGCTTTCTTATTATTATTTATGTGCACCATATTTATTGTTGGCAAAATAGGAGATGCTAATTATGAGTGTCATATAGCAGTTGGTATTCTAATATTTAATGTTCATCTTTATGCTTGTTCCACTGTTTATCTATATGCATTGAACTTGTGTCCTAGTTTTTATTGCGTTAAAGGACTTGATGATGCAGACATACATATAGACATTAACCAGAGTCTACTTAGTCAGGTGGACATACAGTATCCATAGTTAATCTCTTATGGGGATCCCTGCTGAGGCATTTTTCAGCTACCCGAACCATCCAATAGAGTTGGTGAACATCGTGGCAATCCACATTGCTGGGGTCGATTAAATCTGGGTAGTTCCTTTCTTTTAATAGTGGTCTTGCCTGACAAGAAAGTTACTGAACTGTTAATTCAAAATAATAAGGAAATGTGAAGTCACAATAATAGAAGGCTGCTCCTTTCTTCTTTTTTTCTTCTATTATTAGTAATTATACTATTTAGTGTTTCCTTATGTGACATGTCATGAGCAATGGTGGGTAGGCTATCAGGAATTGAAGTAACACAGATCTCATTTGCAAAATTTTGCATTTCCTTCTTTATTTTTAATCCTGTTTTCCTCCCAAAGCTATCAAACATAACCTGCTTTTAAGAATTTTTTTTTTAAAAGAAAGCACTAGAAAGATTACAAGATGTAGTGTGAAAACTGAAGAGAAGGTTTTCATTTGGTGGTTGAAGTCAAGAGCAGAGTGTTCTGGTGAAGAAGAGGGATTCTCTAATTAATAGAAGTTAATGCATATTGTAACAGCCAGAGTATATCTGTAGCTTGTTTTCGGTGTCGCAGATGTTCGCTAGACCCCCTTTTTATTTTGCAGTAGCAGTTGGTGTATAGTTGGGCTTCTGTGGTACTACAGGCAGGTGCTTGTAATGTTTCTTTTTGTGGTGAGTGATTTTTCTAGTTCATTAAAGGATACAAGAATAGGAAAGAGAAGATGAACCTCAATAACCACAATAATATGAACTCCCCATCTTCTCATCAG